CTCCTAAGTCCCAAATCATCTCCCGAAGCTATCCGAACCATCGGAACTCACATCCGAGTCCTCTAACACATAAGTCAACATCCGGTTGACTTTTCCATCTTAAGCCTTCTTAAAAGAGACTAAGTGTCTCAAACCTTCTAAAAACCTATCCGAACCCGAGCCAACCAACCCGATCACATATAAAACCGATAACTAAAGCAAATAGAAGCAGAAATGGGGAAACCGGTAACTCATGAGACGATCGGCCGGGTCGTCACATATTATAAAGATAATCATTATTATAATATTTATATAAAGTCTTAGAAATTAAAATTTCAAAATAGAAATATTTATGAAAGATAAAATCATACCAAATAAGAGTTCAAGTCGTAGTATAAGAGTCACGTCGTACTCAAAGAATCGTTTATATCGTGTCAACCTTTGTGCTTTGCCATAAATATGAGTTATTATTTCACTTTGTGGCTATTGTTATGTTCCAATGACACCTATGAGAATAGTGCAAAAATAAAATTATCACTGAGAATTGAGAAAATGTTAATATTTTTTCATGTAATGTTTCTTAATTAATATCAGGCGATTATCTATAATTATTTAGAAGGTTTAAATGTTAAGGTTATTTACATATAATTCAAATAACTCGGATATTTAACATGGTTAATGTCAAATATCAAAATTCACTAGCTAAAGAATTTTTTATATTTTTAGATAGCCAACTAAAATAAGTTTTGAATTAAGAATAGTATTTTCAATCACATTATTATAAAAATAATTATTATTGAAAAATAATGTTTTAGAAACTGAAATTTTAAGAAAGAAATTTTTTTAAGAGATAACAACACACGAAATAGAGTTCAAGTAGTAGTAAAAGAGTTAAGTCATATCCAAAGAGTCATTCATGATTCGTTGTCTCAATATTTGATTGTTTTGCCATAAATATGAGTTATATTTTGCTTCCTGACTATTTTTAGGATCCAGTGACACCGGCAAGAATGATATCAAAAAAGAAAAAATAGAAGAAATGGTTAATTTTTTCATGTAGTTAATATCCAATGATTATCTATACTTACTGAGAAAGTGTAAATTTTAAGATTATTTACATACAATCCAAATAACTTAAATATTTGACATGATTAGTGTCCGCGCGTCCGCGCGGGTACTAATACTAGTATCTCTATTTATAGTTATAGATCTAGGTAACAGTTGAGTTATGGGTCCAATATGAGCATTTACTCAATCCATCCGTTACTTTTGGAAGACTTGTAACTGTGACGACCCGACCCGTCGTCTCATGAGTTACCGCCCCGTTTCCCCCATTTTATGCTTCTTTATGCTTCATTATCAGTGTTGGGTGTGAACGAGTTGATTTGGAGTGGCTCTAGAAGGACATGAGACACTTAGTCTCTTTAAGGAAGGTTTGTTTTGGAAAAGTCAACCGGACGTTGACTTATGTGTTAGAGGGCTCGGATATGAATTCCGATGATTCGGTTAGCTTCGGGTGATGATTTGTGACTTAGGAGTGTGATCGGAAGTAATTTTGGAGGTCTGGTGTAGAATTAGGCTTGAATTGGCGAAGTTAGTATTTCGGCGAATTCCGGTCGATAGGTGAGATTTTGATCCGAGGGTCGGAATGGAATTCCGAGAGTTGCTGTAGCTTCGTTATGTGATTTGGGATGTGTGTGCAAAATTTAAGGTCATTCGGAGGTGATTTGGGTAGGTTTTTGATCGAATGCAAGTTTCGGAAGATTTGGATGAACTTAGGCTTGAATTTGATGTAATTTGATGGTTTAGGTGTTATTTGTGGTGTTTTGATGATTCGAGCAAGTTTGAGTAAGGTGTTGGATCATGTTTGTGTTTTTGGTTGAGGTCCCGGGGGACTCGGGGTGTTTTCGGATGGCTAACGTGGAGTTTTGGATTTGTAATGCTGCAGAACCTGTGTTGCTTCTGGTATTTTTGCTTATGCGGAAAGGGGACCGCAGAAGCGGTACCGCAGAAGCGAGTTATGAGCCGCAGAAGCGGCAGGTATCGCAGGTGCGGAGTAGCAGACCGCATCTACGGAGTCGCAGATGCGACAGGAGGACCGCAGATGCGGAAATTGAGCAGTTAAGGGGGATTCGCAGATGCGAAATTTTGTCCGCAGAAGCGGAAGTCGCAGGAGCGCATATTCAACCGCAGAAGCGGTGCATTAACCGCAAAAGCGGGAGGCGCAGATGCGGCCATGGAGCCGCAGATGCGGAAACGTCTGAGCAGTGTTACTAAATTTCATCTTCGCGAAATTTCAAGGGTTTCATAATTTCCACTTCGGACTTGGAGAATTTGGGCGAGTTGGAAGAGAGAAATCAAGGGACTTCATTGAGGTAAGAATTTCTGTGTCTAAAACACGATTTTATGGTACAAATACATGAATTAAGACTGAAAAAATTAAGGAATCAAAGGTCAAAAATGGTGGTTAGGGCTTGGAACTTAAGAGAGCTAAAATGGGGATTTGAGGGGTCATTTGGACTCCGATTTTGGTGTTCTTCATATGTATAGACTCGTGGCGAGATAAGGAATCCGTTGATGGTAAATTTTCTAATTTTTGAGAAGTGGGCCCGGGGCTCGGATTTTGCTAATTTCGAGATTTTAGCTATTTTTCGATTGTTTTCGATTGGGTATTGTCCCATTAGCATATTGTGATGTATTCGTTGTGGTTTTGATCAGATTCGGTACACGAGGAGGTCAATTCGAAAGGCAAGGGCATAGCGAGCTAGGACTTTGGCTGGCTTGAGATGAGTAATAGATGTAAATGCTGTTCTGAGGGTTTGAAACCCCGAATTTGCACATTGTAGTGCTATGTTGAGGTGAGTTGCACGCCGGATAACGGGCGTGGGATAGAGCACCGTCGGGGATCGTGACTTGGTCCGTCCCGCTTAATAAAATTACTACCTAATTGATTGAAGCTTAGTTGGTATCCTTATAAAAATGGATTAATTGTCATAATTGGGCCTCGTGCCAACTGCTTGAATCCTTCAGGGATTTATTTTTACTGGTTTCTTACTGTATTTACAGATAATTGAACTCAGTCCTAGAATTTAATACTGTTTTGCAAACTCAGCCATTTTTCTCAAACTAGAAACTTAATTAATATTTTTAAAGCTGAATATTTCTATATTATTGTGCCCGAGGGGCTTATGTGATTTTGGACTGAGCATGGGATCGGGCTGCACGCCGCAGTGGTACTGTATTGATATTGATATGAGGCCAAGGGCCTGGTTGATGCCACGAGATGGCTTATTATTGCGCTTGGGCCGTAAGGGGCCCTTCCCGGAGTCTGCACACCCCTAGTGAGCGCCGTCGACGATAAATAAATGGAGCGGGCTGCACGCTGCAGCGGGTACTGGAGAGTACCGGTTTATGTGTTGCATTGCATATTTGATTGGCATCTACTTATTTATCTGTTGTGGTATTTCCTTAAGCGTTTTCATTGATTTATTGATTTCATGCTGCTGGGTTCGAGTTGCTGTATTTATAGATCTACTTTGTGCTTATTCAGGACTTCTTATTCTCAGTCTTTATTTATGTTTATTACTCACTGAGTTGGAAGTACTCACTTTACTCCCTGCACCCCGTGTGCAGATTCAGGTGCACCCACTGAGGCTGTGTGAGACATTCTCTGTCGAGCATCTTATCCGGGAGAATCAAGGTAGCTGCATGACGTCCGCAGTCCTGATCTTCCCATCTATCCTATTTATTTTATTCCGCATTTCTTTAGACTATTATGTAGTAGGTTGACACTCGTATGTTAGAGGCTCAGACTTGTGACACCAGATTTTCGGGTTGTGTAGTAGTATTTCTACTTGGGTTTTCCACATGTTTTAACTTTAGTTCAGATTTTCAGTATTGTGATTTAGTAATTCATCCAGGTTAAGTAATTCGGGGGTTGTATAAATGGTTAAAGTTATGGAATTGGTCGGGCTTGCCTAGCAGTATGTTGGGCGCCATCATGACCGGGGTTGGGGTCGTGACAGTAACAGTTGAGTAAATGATGGAATCCCCTATTTGTTGAGTCAATTTCGTAATTGATTGCCTCATTTTGCCCGTTACAATCATTTATTGCATTTATTGTACATTACATAATTGATTTGTAACTAATGGCATAATAATGGTAAATCACGTGTAATCCGAGATTAATTGATTCTTTTCTCATTTGTAATTATGAGGCATTCTCCCATACCTCATCCGGGACAATTTTATGATAATCAATTCCGAAATTAACACGCACGGTATATTTGACCCTAATATGTTGGGAGATTTTTAAAAATAGCCAGATTTACAACTGGTCGTTCAAAAATAGACCAATTTCAAAAGTAATCGAAATTTAGCCACTTTTTATGTAAAGATAAATCTAAGCGAAAAAACTGTTCAAAACCCGGAAACTACTCCAGTATATTATGCTGGAGTTCCAGCATAAGTATACTTGAACTCCAGCATATTATACTGGAGTTCCAGGATAGTATGCTGGAACTCCAACATAATATGATGGAGTTCCAGCATAAGTACACTAGAACTCCAGCATAATATACTGGAGTTGCAGCAAGTATAATGGTCTAGTATAATATACTGGAGTTTGGAGCATATTATACTAGAGCTAGCAAAGTATACCGGTCCAGCATAATATGCTGGAGTTCATACACAAGTGTACCGAACTCCAGTATATTATGCTGGACCGGTCTCTATTGCAGCAAAACAGTGGCTATTTTTCATTAACTTGGTAAACGCTGACTATTTTTGATTGACCAGTCTGAAAACTGGCTATACCGTGAAATTTAAACCAATATGTTTCACATATCATGTTTACACGAGATTCTTCACTTTTATCGTAACTTTGCTAACACGCTTTTCCTTTGGAAGGCGGATTATCACAAATTAGTTTGAAATAAATAAAGTAACTTAAAACTAAGCATTTTTTGGCTCATTCAAAAAAGTAAACAAGTGCGTAGGAGTGAAGCCGTTTGTTTCTTCTTTCCGAAGGCGTTTGTTTGAAAATTTGTAAAATTTGAGTTTTACTTTTGCAAATTAGAGTTTAAAAAGCACCTCAAACAAACAGAACTGTAAAATAAATTTTGCCGACTTCCCTATTTGTTGCTGTCTTTCGGATATTTTGAGAATTTGGGTGTTAGGGACTGTTTCCTACACAATACATAAACATCTGTCATCACCAAAACAGATTAGAAACGAACTGTTAGATTCCGCCAGCCATGGCTACATCTCTGAGCACACCAAAGCTCAGTACTACTCTTTCTTCTCCAACTCTCCACACTCTTCTCTACAAACACAAATTCTCTCTTCTTTCACTCTCTATCCCAATTAAGCCTCTCCACTTCAATTTTCTCACCCACTCCCGTAGTACCCCATCATCATTATCCTGTACCCGCCGCCGTTTCACCGCTCCACGCGCCGAGTCCTCCAATGGCGCTGACGCTCCTCGCCACTACGACTTTGACTTATTCACCATTGGTGCTGGTAGTGGTGGCGTTAGGGCTTCTCGTTTTGCGTCTAATTTTGGGGCTTCTGTTGCTGTTTGTGAGCTCCCTTTCTCCACTATTTCTTCTGATTCCACTGGTGGCGTTGGTGGCACGTGAGTTTCTCTGTTTACCCTTTAAACTTGGTAGTATAAATTTGCTATCTTTAGTTTTGAGCTTACTTTATTATATGGGGTAGTATGTCTAGGAAAATTTTAAAAAATGTCTAATTATAGTGGGGTAGATAAGATAGGGTGATTAAGTACTAGCCTGTCGCCCAATTGTGCTTTGAGATAAATGTAATACTATTGTTTCATGATATTGGTGGCAATGTTTCTGAATTGGTCGAACTGAGTGAGTTGTGTGATTCCTAAATGAAGTCAGCGGATTATGTTGAGTAGTACACTTCAAAATTGCAGCTGGGTGTGTGTCGGTTCCTCCAAAAGCAGTGCATTTTTGGAGGATCTAACAAGGGTACGACAACCATTTTACAGAGTCGAAGCAACGTAGACTCTATAATGGGTCCCAGGATCACGTCATGAATGTGGGGTCACGATCACTTCATGGAAGGTCCTAATAGCACAAGCCGTGCATATTGCACTAGGGAGAGTGAGGTTGTTTGCGGGAAACTAGACTATGATTGACATGAATTTAAGATAATAGTATGTAAAAAAAGGGTTGTAAATGCCTGTGATGTAAAGGAGGTTGTAAATGCCTGTGATGTAAAGGAAGTTGTAAAAAAATGGAACATAAAGAAAAGTTATAAAGGAAATGAAAGAAAATGAACTTCTTGAAAGAATATATGTGTTGCACTTGCATGTATGTTGGATGATGCATGACGTCCTTCTATGCGCAAAAGGTCCTATTTATAACTTTGGGGTAAGCCTTTACGGACTTCTTGAAGACGTATAATTAAGTAAATAAAAGTATGCTCTTTAATAATTTAAGCTTTTAGATGAGATAGTCACACACTTAAACTTGGTATCAGAGTAGGGAAGGGTCATGGTTTCGAGTCGTACTGTCACCCATATTCTTCTTAGGTACTTGGCTCATAAAAACAGAATTAAGCCCGCACGTGATGTGGCATGTGGATCAATATGATTAAGTAACTAAAAGTGCACTCTCTCTAACAACTTAAGCTTTTACATGATATCATTACAGACTTCAACTTAAAGAACTGGATTGTTCTTTAAAAGCTCAGCGTGTTCCAGCTAATATTGTAGTAGTTAGTTGTCTCCGTTTCACGGCAGCTAACCGCCTTAACCCCATGTTGGTTAACCGCCCTCACCTTCAACCGAAGTTGTCTTGCCTCATTCTCTATGGAGAGGCGGTTACTTGATCAAGTCATCATATGGTAACACCATGTATGACTTGATCAGGCAGATTTTTCTTTTTTATCCAATTCTTTGAGATGAATGTTGGAATTAGTCCATTTAGGCCAAGTTGTCACGAGCAATACTGAACCTAACGAGTTCCTTTCGGGCTTGTTTTGTATCTGACAGTTCCATCCACAGGGTCATGGTCCAAATTAAGCAGAGGAAGAAGAGACCCAAATTATTCTTAGTCTCAAATTTTTCGTGTTAACAGATGGAAGAGATCCGAAGGAAAATCAAGAAATTGTCTTTATAGTGGAATTGAGATGATAATGTTGTTTGAACTTTGAAGGGTGAATGAGTACCCCATTCCCGAGAAGAATGATGGAGTTCAATGGTGAAATATTTTGGTGTGAAGTTGACATACATGCTTCAGTTTTTAAATGAAATCTACATATTTAGAATTGTGTAGAAGTGCTTTAAGTCAATATATTAAAATATCTAAATAATTTTCGAAAACCATAAGTAAAAGAATTGTTTGATTCCCTAAGTACTTCTCCCTCTATTTCATTTTATATGAAGGTATTTGACTAGGTATGTTGTTTAAGATATTAGTTTGACTTATCTATTATATTAGTGACATTGTAAAAAAATTATTATAATAATGGTTGAAAAGTTAGTTTAATAGAGAAAACATCAGATCAAATTATAAAATCAGAACAATTTAATATATCTGAATTCTTTATAATTGTGAAAGTTGTACAGAAATAGAACGGTGTCAAGCATTTTGCAACATCCCAAAATGAAAAGAACGTTGCCCCAGGGCCTAGCTCAAGTGGCAAAGGGTGGATTTGTGTCTTAGGTCACAGGTTCAAGCCCCCACACCATGCAAAGCAAAGCCTGGTATTTAAGTGGAGAAGGGTAGAGGGGCGGGCCCATTATCCACCGAGTTTCGAAGGCTGCGGTTGGTCCAAAGGTTCGGCCCCTGACGGATTTCTCGGTCATCAAAAAAAAAATGAAAAGAACGTTGTACAAATTAGAATGAAGGGAGTAATAGTTTCATGTAAAGTGTAACAAAAATACTATTGTATCTATTTAATGGAATGATTTTCTTTGTTTCTCTAATAAAGGTGTGTGCTTCGTGGATGCGTACCCAAGAAATTACTCGTGTACGCGTCAAAATATTCTCATGAGTTTGAGGAAAGTTGTGGTTTTGGATGGAACTATGAGGTGGAACCTAAATTTGATTGGAGCACCCTCATTGCCAATAAAAATGCCGAGTTGCAGCGCCTCATGGGTATTTACAAGAATATTCTGAAGAATGCTGGTGTCACTCTGATTGAAGGGCGAGGAAAGGTTGGGAAATGTTACAATGTCATTATCATGCTCCGTAAGGCTTCAAGTTAAAGCATATTTCCTTGTATTTGACTGTATTTTCAGGTTGTGGATCCTCATACAGTGGATGTGGATGGAAAACTCTACTCGGCTAAGAACATACTGATTTCAGTTGGGGGACGCCCATTTATCCCAGACATTCCTGGTAGCGAGTATGCTATAGATTCTGATGCAGCCCTTGATTTGCCAACGAAGCCTAACAAAATTGCCATTGTCGGAGGCGGTTACATTGCACTTGAATTTGCTGGAATCTTCAATGGCTTGAAAAGTGAGGTCCATGTTTTTATAAGACAAAAGAAGGTTTTGAGAGGCTTTGATGAAGAAGTGAGTCATTTATCCCTGACATGCGCAGGAGTTTTTGTTAAGTAACTTCCTTGTTCCTTCATAACCCAAATTCTTGATGATCAAATTCTTTGATATATGCAGATTAGGGATTTTGTTGGTGAACAGATGTCATTGAGAGGCATTGAGTTTCATACTGAGGAGTCGCCTCAGGCTATTGTCAAGTCAGCAGATGGCTCACTGTCTTTAAAGACTAGCAGAGGAACAGTTGAAGGTTTCTCTCATATCATGTTTGCAACGGGACGAAGACCTAATACAAAGGTTTGATGTGCTTTCCTGTTGCTAGCTTATCTCTGATAGACCTAATAGGGTAAGGTAGTTCATAGCCAAGGGGTTCTTGTTCTATACAAACCTGGACTGAATACTTGTGGAGGAAGAGCACGATGATTTCTCCTCAAAGTCAACCACTTCCCCCTACCCCCAAAATCGGCAACACTATCACACAACCCCGGACTCCCTTGTGCCTGTGAAAGCTTGCTCTTATTGCTTTTAATGCAGTGAAGTCTTAGATGAGAAAAAGTTCTTTTTTGCACCCTTCTTTTGGGCTCTCCAGCACCCTGTCTTTGGGTGGCATGAGATTGCCAAGGGCCAGTCAGGTGTGGGGGCAGGGTTGATTATTTAGTTAGACTAGTGATCCTATGATCGTGATTGGTTTTTCTTCTATTATCATCATGAACTTGATCGTTATGTATTCTTTAATAATGCTGGTGATATAATTGCATCATATTATATCAAAGGTTACTGTCATTTCTGTTATTATTGCGATTATCATCTTTGTCACCATTCTTGCAGTTACCATTGTACTTATAATTGTGGTTCTTTATTTTATATTCATGTTTATCAGTTGGTGCTTTGTGTGGAGTGTTCAAACACATGGTTTCTTTTGATGGATATGGTTGGATACTCAAGTTGTAACCACCAGTTGCTTAAGTTTCTTTTTGTTTAAACGCATGGCAGAATTTAGGATTAGAAACGGTTGGAGTGAAAATGACAAAGAATGGAGCCATAGAGGTGACTACCTTTCTCTCCTTTTTTTTCCTTCCTAGTTTGCTTGAACTACTTTTTGAATTTGTTCTTGAATGTTAGTTTCATTTCCAAATTGTTTTACAGGTTGATGAGTATTCTCGTACATCAGTCCCATCAATTTGGGCTGTTGGAGATGTTACTGATAGAATTAATTTAACTCCAGTTGCTTTGATGGAGGGAGGAGCACTGGCAAAAACTATTTTTGCTGATGAACCCACAAAACCTGATTATAGGTGCCTTTTGGTCGTCTGAGAATTCATATAATGACTTAAAAGTTTGATGAAAACTGTCAAAGATGCACATTTGTCCAATTATTTCGACTACAATTGGTATAATACTATAATGTGCTTTAAGATCGGTGGTTCTACCATGTCAAATGCATAAGCTCTTACAGCTGAATTTTAATTGGTTTAAAAAGAAACATCTATAACTTTTATCTGATTTGCGTTTTCTCCTCTCCCAAATAGGAATGTACCAGCTGCAGTATTTTCCCAACCACCTATTGGACAAGTTGGTCTAACGGAAGAACAGGTATAATAGCTAGAGCTTGTGAGTTGACAATTAACTATCATGATTAATGATTTGATTTTGTTTTCCCAGGCCATCAAAGAATATGGTGACATTGATGTTTATATGGCAAATTTTAGGCCCTTAAAGGCTACTATTTCTGGTCTTCCAGATCGGGTTTTCATGAAACTTATAGTATGTGCAAAGACAGGCAAAGTTCTGGGCTTGCATATGTGTGGAGATGATGCACCAGAAATTGTACAGGTTGCAATTTCCTCTTAATTCTTTGGTGCATGTTTGAGATTGATTATAGAATATGCGTGGTAATATTTTTTGTCATCATGAAACAACCAGGGATTTGCGATTGCAGTCAAAGCTGGGTTGACCAAGGCGGACTTTGATGCCACTGTGGGAGTTCATCCTACATCAGCAGAGGAGTTTGTCACCATGCGAACCCCGACAAGGAAGGTTCGAAGCAGTCCACCTGAGGTTTGTCATTCACCTGAGATTGCAGTGCATTAATTCTTGGTTATAATATATGTGAAGAAACAGCTTTCACTTCTCCGTCTCTCTGTCTCAGTGAAACTAAAGTCTTGAAACGAGACAAATTGTATCGACCAGTATGCTAGTAATTAGGACACTACCTCGATTGAGCTGAATATGTTCCTTTAATGAGCCAAATGATCGACCTTTAATCTTTCCTTGTTCTTCTTCTTCCAAATAAGATCGATCTTTACCAATATTACTTCAAACTTTGTGGAAACTTAAATAGAATTTTGATGTTTGAATTTTGTCTTATGCTTTTTCCTGCTACTCAGTAGGCTGTGCATTTTGTTAATTTTCCAGGATAAGGCAGAGCACGATATTAAAGCTGCAGCTGGAGTTTGATGTGCGGAAATAAAGGCTCAATTTTTGGATGACATAAAATACATGTGGGTAAGAAAGGGTTCCTTCGACATTGCACCTAAAGTTTCCCTGTAGTTTCCTTAGGTGCTTCTTGTTCATGCCACTTAGATTGTCACTGTTGGCCATCGTTCTCTTGCTGCTATGCCCCTTGTAATCAAGGTTGACTGAAATAACTGTCCCCTCTGTCTCACCTTATCCAAAAAAAAAAAAAAAAGAAAGAAAAAGCCCCCTGTCTCTCACTTTAAGGAGGAGCATGGAGACAACTACACGATCACTGTAGATAGTGTTCTATTTTGCTGCCGACTTTCTTAGCTATATTCAATAAGCACACTCTCAGTTGTGAAGTCTGAACTGAGATTGCAGTTAGAAATTTTAGTTTTGTGATTAATGTTCATTTTGGCAAATAAAAAATTTGATAAACATAATTCCAAAGAGAAGTACTTAGGGCTCGTTTGGTACAAGGGATAAGGAATAATTAATCCCGGATTAAATTTAAGAAGAGTTTACCCCATGTTTGGTCGGGAGAAAATTGTGGTATAATTAATCCCGGGATTAGTTATCCTGAGATTGTAGTATTTTGTTATCCCCATGGAAAGATGGAATAACTAATCCGGGATAACTAATCCCGGGATAACTTCTTTCCAACCAAACGACCCCTTAGATCTCTCAGATAATCATTGCATATGCTGCAATAAACTCTTCTAAAACCAAGTTATTGAACATGACCAAAAATCCTGCGTGAAATGTTTTGTCATGGACAATGCAAATTTCATGTCATGGGGCCATATCGGATCCAACACGACACAAATTTACTGGCACTGTTCTTACATAATATGATCTGTCAAATTGTGAATAATCAAATAAAATGTGAGACTTAGATTGAGAACTCCGGGATTATGTTGTTCCGTAACCTTAGTAGGTTCACCTATGGATTAAGGGTGAAACAAACAGACTTCAAGTCTCTAATGACAAACTGGTCTATATATGCCGAGCTAAAAAGCTTAAGATATTTGAAGTGGTTGATGGAGGAATTTACTGCCTATGGTAATTTGCCAGTTTGTAGTGTTGCAGTAGGGATAATGGATCAATGATGATAGAGATAACAATGTTCAGAGGGCGCAGTGATCTATTATAATGCATCTAGGTATTCAGTTTTTGGTTTTCTTTTTCTTTTTCCCTTAAACGTAGGTGATTGGTGGTGTCTAAAATTATTGCATTATTCCTAATTTCTACAACCTTAGGATTTAGACTAGCAACTTGATTGCCCTCTGTCAATTTTGACCCAACTATACTCTGGACTAGTTCAAAAGCTAGGAAGTGTCATTGGGCTGTAGCAAGTAATTCTATTGACTATTGGCATCATTATGATGAAAAAATCTGCACCTTTAAACCCTGTGTGTGAAGTTTGTATGTTCCAGTCTTCCTCAGCCAATTCAGATATAGCTTCTTTTTCCTTAACTAATATGTTGTCCCTTACTGAAGTGCCCAACTGTTCATATACATTTGCAGGTACAACTTTGCAAGAGGTTTTAGACTGATGGGGAGCTTATGGGAACATCGGTTGTGGACTCATAACAAGCAAAAAGCTTTCTCCAGCAACCGAGTCAGTGATACTTGTCGGAACCAATGCAAACTTCATTGCTTAAAAAGGGCTTTAAAGGTGCTTGTGAGGATGCTATATGTATTCATCCACTTTCTTGCATCTCGTCAACAGTATTGCTTTTGATCAAACTAATAGAGATTTAACAATTATCTCCAATTTTTTCTGGGAAGTCCAGAGAGAAGTAATTATTAATACCCGATGATGTTTTTCTCTATTTTATATTTTCCTTTTGGGGTTGGGGGCACAATCAGGTGGTGTTATTATAACATTGCTTATTAGATATTGTTTCTGTGTAACTATAACATTATGTGATATTCTGCAACAATAGCAATTATGCAGATTGATCATGGCGTTTATATACAATAAAGCAGCTATGGGAAATGTTACTGGTCAGCTTACACATCTTTCATTACTTGTCAGGCGTTTGATATAGTAAGGATTCAACTTATATACACGGAGTTTCCGTGCAAATAATTGTTGCAGTATCAGTGCAATTTAACATGTTATAGTTGGTTATTTATTCTATTTTTTAGGTTATTGTATCAGACTTACTATGAACAGCCTGTCTGGGATCGGTAAATGAATGATGACATCGCAGGTTTAAGTTTGGAAACTATAGTATTGTCATGTCATAAATCTAGCTCAACATCGTTAATTTGACGCAAAATGATTTGCATGGAACAGTGATATATTTCTCATTTGCAACATATCACCATGTATCTGCAGTGATCTTTCAAGGACACATCTTTATATCAATTTGAGTTCCCTTCCACGTTATAGGTTAGCTTTTCAGTGGTTGATCTAAAATTTAAATGTTGTGCATTCTGAATAACAGCGAGTTTTGCAAAGTATATTTAATTTTATTTTGCACACAGAGTTCGACCTTATAATGCTACTAGTATTTGGGCACGTGCATTTCACATGTATTCCTATCAACTTAAAAGAATAGATAAATAATGTGTAACGATCCGACCGGTCGCTTTGAGCTCTAGCGCATCGTTCAGCGGTTTGAAGCCCTGAGTAGCTTCACTTCAGGTATTATGACTTGTACGCATGGTCGGAATTGAGTTCCAGGAAGTTCGGAATTGATTTGGAGAGAGAATTATCATTTCGGAAGCTTTAAATTGAAAGAATTGATCAAGATTGGATTTTCGAGTAGACGACCTTGGAATCGGGATTCGAAGGTTCCAGCAGGTTCGTATGATGATTTCGGACTTGGGCTTATGTCCGGATCGGGTTTTGGAAGACCCGGGAATGTTTCGGCACCTATTGCGGAAGTTAGCATTTTTGGAAGAATTTCATAAGTTTGGGTTGAAGTGCATTTCAGTGTTATCAATGTTCGTTTGGGATTCCGAGGCTGGGAATAGCTCCGTATGATGATTCTGGTGTTGGGAGCGCGATCGGAAGTGAATTCGGGGGTTCGTGGGTCATTTTGGAGTCATTTGGCTAAAGATAGAAATTTGAAGGTTTTTGGGAAGTTTGATCGAGAGTTAGACTTTTTGATATCGGGGTCGGATTCCGATTCAGAAGTTGGAGTAGGTCCGTAATGTCGAATAAGACTTGTGTGCAAAATTTGAGGTCAATCGGACGTGATTTGATAGGTTTAAACATCGAAAGTAAAAGTTTGAAATTTTAAAGTTCATTAAGCTTGAATTGTAGTGCGATTCATGATTTTATGGTTGTTTGGTGTGATTTGAGGCTTCGAGCAGGTCCGTGTTATATTTTTAGACTTGTGCGGGTGTTTGGTTTGGAGCCCCGGGGGCTCAGATGAGTTTCGGAGTAGCTTCGGAGTGTTTTGAGAAAGAGTTGAAATTTTTGGTTCTGGTATGATCGCATTTGCGAGGAATTGGTCGCAAATGCGACCATCGCATTTGCGAGAGGGAGTTCGCATTTGCGAGCCTGGGCTTCTGAGGGAAAGTTCGCATTTGCGAACGAAGGACCGCTTTTGCGAGGCTGTCACATTCGCATTTGCGAAGGATTTTGTCGCAAATGCGACCAAGGCAGGGTTGGCTAGGCTTCACATTTGCGCTGCATTTGTCGCAAATGCGATATCGCAATTGCGAGCCGGATGTCGCAAATGCGACATCTGCGACTGGAACCTAGGGCTTTTTATCCCGAGACTTAGCCCATTTCCTTCATTTCCCACTTGGTCTTAGGCGATTTTTGGAGCTCTTGGAAGAGGGTCTTCACCTAGCAATTTGAGGTAAGTAATTTCTACACAACATGAGTTAAATACATAGATTATGGGTAGATTAACATGTGAAAATTAGGGAAAATCAAGGGTTTAGATGAAAAACCTAGAGTTTGATAGAAACAAGATTTAACCACCAAATTTGTGATGGAATGAAGTAGAAATTATATATTATTGATCCTTAGGTCATGGATAACAACTTTCTTTAAAAATTTCCGAAATGCGGTCACGTGGGCCCGGGGATGAATTTTAGGAACCTTGCATTTAGGGTTGGAAATTGGTTTAATAATTAGAATATGAACTTTTGAGCATGTATTGACTAGTTCTTACCCTATTTGAATAGTTTTGGATCGTTCGGCTCCAATTTGGAGGTTTGAGCGCGTTCTTGAATTGGGACATAGGCTTCGGAGCGAGGTGAGTCTCCTTTCTAACCTTGTAAGATGGAATCGTCCCCATAGGTGAATTAATTGGATAATGTGCTTCTATTGCTTGCCTTGAAATTTATTGAAGTGATATTGTTTCTTCCCAGTTTGAGAATAAATGTATAAATGATGAAAAGGGATTTGGGAATTTCCTATAAAAGAAAGAATTGCTTACTTGCTTCACTTTATTGAATTACAATCATGCTTATATAAATCCTCGATTTGTTACATTATCGATTTATCATTATTGGACCGCTAGTAAGTGTCGAAGTCGACCTCTCGTCTCTACTTCTTCGAGATTAGGCGGGATACTTACTGAGTACACGTTGTTTTCATACTCATGCTACGCTTGCTGTGCATTTTGTTGCACAGGTACAAGTATCTCTAGCGGCCTACTGGGCGTAGCAACATGGATGATACGGAGACTAGGTGACCTGCATTTCTCGAGGCGACCCGCAGCCAATATAGTCCTTTTCAGCGTATTGTATTTACTTCTGTCCAATTTGTATTCCGGACAGTGATTGTACTTTATTCGATCCTCTTAGTAATTGCTCATGCACTTGTGACATCGGGTTCTAGGATGTCTATGGGATTATTCAGTATTTGAAATTGTTAAAGATATTTTTGTTTATTTAGTGGAACTTATTCTTTATTGTTTAAATATATAAAAGAAGTAAATTCAGAGTTATCTAAAACAAGAAGTTACTAATTAATTAGTGTTGGCTTGCCTGACAATGGTGTCCGGTGCCATCACGACCCTTAGTGGATTTTGGGTCGTGACAACATGGTATCAGAGCACTAGATTCCCTTATGTCTCACGAGTCATGAGCAAGTCTAGTAGAGTCTTGCGGATCGGTACGAATACGTCTGTACTTATCTTCGAGAGACTACAGGGCTGTTAGGAGAACTTCCCTTCTTGATTCCTCATTGTGCGATTTGATTCCTTTGAGGCTTATGCCTTTGTTTCCTTCCTACTCGATCCTATGCGACGCGAAGCTCTTATTATAAATCAGGAATTGAGGAATTTTAATGGTACTACGGATGTGGTGCAGGATGTTTCTCCCCGCGTGATTTTTTGAGCTATTGTTATCGCCTAGCGGAAGGATATTCTATCATTTCAGCTCCGTAGCTGTAATTCTGAGAGCTCTGAGGCTAGGCACAAGTTGCCATGGTGCTTATGAACGGTTGTCGCGCGGTATGGATGTGATGGTAGGATGCTTGCCCACGTGTCGAGGCAGTGAATGACTCGAAGGGAGGTTTACTCAATGCATGATTTGGAGATTCAGTATTTTATTCCCGGCGGGGAAAAGGCAATCGGGCTAATAATGTTTAGATTTGGATTGATGGAGTAACGAGACTTGGTATTTGCGAGCGTGGTGGAATTCTCATCTGTGATGAGGTGCTGTTTACCATGATGAAGTGTGCTAAGTTGCTGGTGTTAAGACCTTCTACAATTCGCCTTTGGGGCAGGGTATTGTGAGATAGCAATGGATAAGCGGCTGTCAGAGATCGCGGGGTGCGGTGGTTCAGGATTGAATCGATGTTTATAATGTCGATGGCTCGAGTAGAGATGATCTCCGGAGAGGTTTAAAGTTAGCAGCGCTCTATTGGTTCAAGAGCTACCGAGTTAGATTTTTTATCTAAGGCTTCATCTGAGCGACGAAGGATGATGAAGGACATGTGGAAAGTGTCATGCGGTGGTCAAATGTTTAGAAGGCCAAGTGTAAGAAGCGAAATTCGAATAGTTTCTTAAAGAAGAGGGTTTGGCCAAAATGGGACGTGGATTCAATGGCAGGATAACTACACCCTTGAGGAAGGTTTGGAGTGATTTGGGAATTTTAGTGGACGGTGATTAGGTCGAGCTTAATTTGAAATATTGGCTAGCATAGCGGTGGGAGATTTGATATGACGGAAAGGAGTTGCTTGATATGAAGAAGGATACAACATAACTTTGAATTGGAAGATATTGTGTCGCACATTTAGTTAATGTCCCTAAGAAGTGAACGGACTAGTACAATTGGTGGATGAGCACGAGCTCATGATGGGTTATGAACGACGTAGTGATGGTGCCTCGTGCAGCGGCGTTGAAAGATGTCGGCGTGTAATCTCCACAGGCGGGTTATCTCCTGTGAGTGGATCAGCGGTTGCGTGATTGGCGAAGCTTTTGCGAAGAATCCTACGGGCTATCTGGTAAGGAGGTTGAACATGTGAATGTGGAGGTTAATGATTCAGAGTATTCATAAAAGGTTTACAGAATGATTTCGACGAGCTTGGCGGGTTGGTTGTGCTAGATCACGTCAACAATGAAGAAAGAATCTTGTTGGATTCCAGAGTTGCGTAATGGTGGCATCAAGCTAAGTGGGAGAGTCCCACTGCCTACGGTTGGGTTGTATGATTATCTTCTTGTGAGGTTGCGGGTTATCGGCGTATTGGTAAGTTGTTTCGGCTAAGGAAAGAGAACATCAGTAGTAATTTGAGCAAAGAAATTGAAGAATGTGTTCTATAATTGGCATCATCGATTCATGTTCAAGCTTGGGGAAGACTCAGGAATTATGCTTCGCGTAGAAGTGAATTGCAAGGAAGGTGATTCGGCCGGGTGCCTCTTTGAGAGGGTGGTCATGGGCTAGCGGAGCCTTGCAGTTGATTATATTCGGGGCCATGTCAGAGTGGGTGACTCTCAATAACGGTCCTAGTGAATTCAAAGGTTGAAAATGCGGTAACTAAGGATTCAAGTCTGGGTATGTTTAAGAATCGATCTTGTGAAGCAGCTTATAATAAGA